TTTGAATCGATCCGTTATGATGTAAGAATTGAGTGTCTTTAAATTGAATATTGGTCGACTCGAGCCGTCGCCTTTGGGGACAAGAAACATCGATGACAGGAAGCTTGGCGAAACAACCACCCGCTCCAGAATGCGCTGAACTAGCATTTTGTTTATGATACTTGTCATTTCGGCAGACTCTGGAACATTTAGGTTGGTTCTGACAAGGTTTGGGTAAACAAGCGGTGGTTTTTGGCAAAAGGGTATGCGATACCCGGATATTATTTTTAGAATGTACTTTGGTGCATTCATTTGTTCCCATTGGTCCGCAAAATGCAGGAGACGGCCTGCTCTGAACGAGTCAATACTTACGTCTTTTATTGTCGTTATTCCGTTGGGGAATAACGCGCGTTTTCGCACATGCCTCGATTGATTATTTTGCCGATTCGGTCGGCCACGAAAGTTACTGCGATTATTCGGTGCGACCGAATTATATTGAGCAGCATGACCACGAGGGTTAGAATCACCTTGCGGAGGTGGATTACTGTGGCTGCAACCACCTTGCGAAGGTGGGTCACTTCCAACACATTGCGAATGTGTGGTAATATGTTGGCATGCCTGAGCATTGCGAGAAAATCCTTGCAAGGACTTATTGTAAGGCTTGGATCCCTGCGAGGGGCCACGAAACTTATTTGGATCCGCCTGCGAGGCAGAAGACGTGTTACCTTTTTGCAACGGCCAAAAACATTTTCTTACTCCGCCAGATTTTTCAATAGCAGCAGTGAACTTCTCTGCGTTGAACAAATTGGTACACGTTGGAGGAATTTTCTTTAAACTGGCCTTCATCAACGGGTCCTTTGCCTGTTTAGTGACACAATCTCGTCGCATTTGAAGGATCTCAGCACGATGCCCACAAATGATCTGTAGTAAGTCTGAGGAACATCTACTATAATCTCCTGTGGAAAAAAGGTCACTGACTTTTTGAAGTAAAGTGTCATAACTAAGCGATACACTATTTCTTGCCCATTGTAAGAGTTCTTGAAGGGTTCCTTGTAAAGCGTCCCTTTGTTTGAGCACACACATGGTCAAGGCTGCGAAAGCCTTATCAGCATGCACGAGATGACGAGAAGACTCAAAAGCTTTAACTTCTTCATTAATTTCAATGTCTGTGTAACCCGGTGAATAATTATATAATTTTTGGGTTTCTGAATACCTGATTTCATTCCAGTCACTTTTACCTAAATGCTGATAATCACATAATAATTTTCTGGAGCCTTTGGCATAGAAGGCTCTTTTAGCTTAGTTTCGAAAGATAAGGTAAATTCTTGATCACCACTTGCACTGAAACTACTAGGTTCAACATTAAGCATTTGTTCGTAACTATTTTCGTTAATATTAGACATTAGAGAGATGGCATCATAATCCAAATTAGTACTCACGCGTTGACCGCTATCCTGGCTAGCGATTCGCCGATGAAGGTTTCGTACTTCTTTAGTGAGTTTCCGAAATTTACGTTCGGAGAGCCGCTTACGCTTGCCCCCCCTTTTCTTGTTGCGGCGACTTATCTTTGGGCTGCCTCCGCTAGTCGAGGAACTGCTTTCAAAACTTGAACAACTTGAACTCGAGCTGCTAGAACTCCTCGACCGAACTCGCCGCTTCCGCGGTGAAGAACGTACTTGAGGAACCGCACTAGCCACTCTATCAGCATTATCATCCAAATTTTCCATATTTAAAATTATTAATATCGAAAGATTAAACTTTGTTATAAATTGAATATAAATTTTATTTAAATTGAAATAAAACCGTTAGGAATATTTATATAAAAAAAAATTAGATATGCTAAGACGTGTCGTCACGAGACGACCGATCACGGCGGGAAAAGAGACGCCAATGAATTTAAAATGGCGAGGCTCGCTTTACGAGCCTCCCTACCACTGCCAAGCGGAAGTGAGGTTTTAGAAAGAGATGGATATATATAGAAATGTGAAGGCGGGAAACGTAGTGCCTATCTCAATTAAATAAGCTTCGAATAACGGTCAAGTCAAATTAATATCAGGTAATTCGTATGCTCGTCTACCCGACCGATGACATAAAACAAAAACTGGAGTAGCGGTATTTAAATAAATCTCCACTTCTATCTTCGAGAATTGCGGATACTTGTGACTGCATGCTGCAGTGATAAGTTTTTTTTAATTTATACACTTTATACAAATACATTTGCAGGCGGACTTAATGCCTTAGGCTTAATGTCTAACAGTCAACCTTCAGGTAATAGAGAGATCAGAATGGCAGGTGACAAAAGTACCTAATGTAAGTACCTAACAAAATATTATGACATTCGATCACTTAGATGCACGATACACGAATAATAAATATTAAGTATGCATATAATATATAAAAATAAAAGAAAATAAGTTAGGTATAAAATATTTGAATTCGCCAATCTTGTTTTAAAACAGCAGCACGTACTTGCTGTACGTGCAAATTAGAGACTACCTACTCGTATTACAGGCAGTTCTTAGTTTGTAGTTGTCTTTTGAACCACACCACATTTTTATCTCTTCTATATCAATACGATATTTTTTATCGAGTTTACTTATCGCTTAGTTAACGATAACTAAGTCGAGATGACAGGTTAGCACTCAAAGATGGGGTGTACCGCCAAACGCGCTTTTTTTTTTGTTAGGGGAAAATCATCAAATGACTTCTCCCGCCCAGGGCCGGGCAGGAGGGAGTGTCAGACTCTTACTGACTAAAAACCCCCCTGTTCCTACTCCTGCTCTGTGCCGAGGTCGCGGTGCCTCATTGCGCTTACCCCGCAACCCCGGCTGAACATCAGCCCTTAGGGCCCCGTCTGTGGTGGTCTAATGGCACTTTGAGGCGCGCGCGGAACGCTACGCGCCGTACGCTCGGGACCGCCAAACGCGCTAAAGATAGTATCTATCAACCTTATGTCAAAGTTAAAGTACTTACGTTACGTTACGTAAGTTTTTTCTCTTTATGCCATGTATAAATTGTGCATTGTATTTAAGTAACTGCATGTGTACATTAAAATTAGGTATATTATCATTTACTGTATTTTGCATAGGTACCGCAATGGTGAAAAGTGCTGCGCTAAAATTATATTTCTAGCACCTTATTTTAACCACATTTTTGTCCAAATAAACGTTTCTTTCTTTCTTTCTATGACTTGGTAATTCAGTCGGGGAATGTTACGCGGCCCCGGCCCGGAGTGAGGAAGGAATGGAGTGGTTTATGTTTTATAGTAACAGTCTGACACTGCCTCCCGCTTCACCAAGGGCGAAAAGAAATTGCATGATTTTACCGCTTTAAAAAAACAACTAATTTATGGCAAACTACTTTCCGCCTGCACCTCCGGACACATATAAAAGTACCTAATAAGTATATCCTGGGATTTTAAAAACAACAGTTTTTGAAGCGATAGCTGAAATATGCAAATCAAGTATAATTTATAGCCCATACCGCTATCAATCAGTGAAAGAATTTTGGAAATCCGACCATCGGTTCAAAACATTAGGTACCCCCTACATACAAAGATACAAATACCTCATTATAATATTAGTGTAGATAGTAGCCTCGAGGCGAGCCCTTTTTAAAATAACGAATCAGATTCCACAATTAAATTCGTATAACGAATAATTATTTTGATTTCGAGATCGAATTCTGGGCCATGTATTGTGTCATAGCAAAGCTATACGAAATTTTAAACAATGTTAATTAACCATATGTCAAGGGTCCCCGAATAGTTTTGCAATACAATCAATTAGACCATTGAATTCCTAAATATAAAGTCGACACATACATTACGTACCTATTACAAAACGAGTACGTCTACCTACTTAGTTCAATTTTCTATTTTTCGAAATTCATTTAACTCAGAACTAGAATTTGGTGAAGGGAAAATCATCAAATAACTTGAGGGTACGGCGAGGGGAAGGTGTCAAACTCTTACTGACTAATCCTCCCCCTCCTGTTCCTTCTATAGCTCTAGGCCGAGGCCGCGGTGTTTTATTGCGCTTAACTCGCGACCTTAGCTTAGAACTAGCCTAAACAAGCATAAAAAAATACTGGGATCATTCCCACTTATGGATTTTAATTTAGCACAATTTAATTCTTCTATCAATCTTCTACCTATCTACCCTCGCCAAGAGGAGTTTCCACTTCAGATATATTAAACAAGGAGATTACAAGTTTTAAAAGTGTTAACATTCAAACAAATGCGCAAATATAATCAATATGTATTGGTATACGGTTCAATTATGTAGTTGGAATACAATCATTCATTTTCTTACCTACACACTAAATAGTACTTCGGCTGATTGCGCATAATATTACTTTTACGGACAGTCTTTATAAGCATTGTTTAAAAAAATTGTCACAATACTAAACATCGGATGACACAACTAGGTAATATAATCACACTGAAAAATAATACCTTTGACACAGACATTAGATACTGTTTCTGATTATGCTGACGTAAAATAATATCAATATTTATAAACCTCTTCCATTACAAGCTACCAAGAGACTCAAAACAATTATTACACCATGACAATGCATTTTCTATACATACTTTATTTTTTATTTTTAAAATATGTAATTAATAAAAACTACTGAATGCATTTGAAAGAAATAGATTATAGACTTCTTTTTAATCTGATACTGCAGGCAAAGTTGCTGGCAGAAGCTAGTAACATACTAAAGCTATCACAAATCATTGTTTAAAAAAATATATGACAAGATAAAAACATTCTTTTTGGTCTTAAAGTGGGAAAGGCAAAGAGGTTTATTTAATATTACAATTGTTCCAATTCAGGACACAATAGAATTATGAACACCAGTGGTCGCTTCATATGTAAGCAAATTATATTTTTCTGCTAGTTTGCAATAATCAAGGTCAATTACTGGGCACTAACTGTCTTATCATTGGAAAAAAAGTTATAATACATAACATTTTTTCTGATTTAGAACAACTAATGTTTATACATCTACTACAATACCTTTTTTAACAGCTGCTTCGACTGCACAAAGGCCAGTCATGCCAGTGGATCCAAAAATCACGATTTTCATTTTCTGTAAAGGTAAAATACAAGTTTTATAGAAGTTTACTTAAAGTAACACAGGTTGAAACTAAACCAGTTAAGCAGGTTTTATCAAGTACTTGAAGGCAAGATACCGTTTATATCTGCAATTTATTATCTCTTACAATGTTAGTTTACACACACTATCAAATCAGTTAAACACTTAAAACCTCTAGGTATAACATTTTTGCCATAATTTTATGTTTAATCTATGCTCCTATTTTGCCGCTTTTTTTGTAATGAGAATGAGAACTCACCTGAGCGGTAACTAACTACACAATGCGACTAAATTACCAAATTAACAATTTAAATAGCTATACGACGGTAGATGACAATTAAAACCCGAAAATATTTCAGAATGTCAGAATTAATTAATTATTTATGTAAGTAAATGTTTCTTGCATGCGTACCGGTATGTGATGCAACAACAAAATGGAATGGGAACTTCTTTTCAGAAACTGTTGTGAAATATTAGTTACGGCACGGAAGATAAAGATTTGCTGCATTTGTCTTATCAGATTTAGGGTCACTCTCGCCGGTACCTATGTATGACATAATAAGTAATATAATATAAATCATGTTGGCGTATATTACTTACCGAATTTTTTTCGTACTAAAGTACAAATTGTAGGAAACGAGTTGGCTAGGCACTAATTAAATACAACTATCGGAAAAATAAATAAAAGCGGATGACGACACGAGTTCCATTAACAACTTACGTTTCGTTTTACTGCTCGTCGAGACGTCGAGATATATCGAACTTCAATACGTCACATAGATTGTCAAAGTCATAGATTTATTACCTAAAGCAAGGAAACCGCAAAACGCAAATCATTTTCATTTACTATCATCTTATTTATCCTTTTACCGTTCTGCTACATACACAGCATAAGAGTAATGACTATTCTTGAAATCGAATTCTATTTCAATTTGATAAACTTTAAATAAAGTATGCTTCATACTTCATACGTTCAGAAATAATATACTACAGTCATAACGATGGCAATACTGAAACGTTTAGTTTCCTTCATTATTCAAGTTCGTTGAAAAATTAGTTTTCAATATTGTACTTAAAACTTTACATTGATTAAAAATGCTGGAATTATTAATCTTTATTCATGTTATATGTAAAACGTTGACCTTTTCGGATTTATTCAAATTTTGAGATAAAAAAATATTGAATGAAAATAAAATGACAGATGAATACGTCAAAACAATAATAATAGAAATCGCAGGACATCTAAACGCGCATAACCTATACATGTCATGTGTAAACTGCTGTAGTGTGATTTGAATTTATATTTAAAGTGTAAAAACTTCTATAAAAATATGACTGAGACAGAAGAATACTTTCCACGTGGAGGAAAGAAGCCTACAACCACATACTTCAAACAAAGCGCAAACGTAAGTACTAAAAACACGATTTAACTCATGTGAGTTTGTTATTTTACTAAAAAACCACATTATTTAGTTTTTAGGGGCACCTGAGAAGGGAGAAAAGAAGAGAAAGAAGCCGAAGAAGAAGGCTGAAGGTGACGATGGATACTTATCGGACGAGGGCACGAAAGAGATTGACCAATCGTATAAAAATTGCGCCAACGGTTTAAGTTATAAGGTGCGTTATTTCTTCCTTAAACCAATTTATATTTTATTTCTTTAGTTAATTGACAAACCTAATTGACAACGTGTATCAACCATACAGCTTCATCAGAATTACATTGCAGCTGCAATAAAAATAATAATATATACTTAATTGATTCACTTTTATATTTAAAATAAATGATTAAGAACTACATGGACAAGATGTTGCTTAATAATTAAAAAAATAAAGTATGTAGGTGTATGTGGTATACATATGTATGCCCCAATTGTACATACCAATTACTACATAAGTGATCTTAATTCTTACGAGACTGAAGTTGTTGATGAGAAATAAAATTAATTTTGAAATTGGTTACCTCTGTTATATTGACACTATTCCTCTATGACATGTGTTAGTCATCCTTTTTTATTTTAAAAATATTTGAGTTGAATGTGTAGGTAATATTCAGTATGATATTGAGTTCCTACTCAAGATTGTGCAATGCACAAAATTACACACTGACACTGAAATCAGAATAAAGTTGTAATGATAACATGTGGATTAATATTACCTTATTTTTTTATCCTAAATCCATCATTTATGTGAAGGTTAATAAGTTATTGACTTTGTGATTATTTATACTATAATACTATAATAGTAGTGTATACTATAAATTTCATAATAACCTCTAATGATCAGTGGCATTAAAAAAAAAGTTTAGTATTCTATAAAAAAACATTATGGGTGAATTAAAAAAAAATCTTTTTGCAAATTTTTTATTAACCCTTAGGCGACAATATGTAAAAAAAGAAGTGTAATATGATTGAAAGACTTGGATCTTGGATACTTGACTTTATTTAGGTAGTACACAGTCCTGCAGCTCACTGCACCAGAGTTACATTGTCAATTGCCGACCCTTGCTCGGCCACCCTCTTTATAGAGATATGACGACATAGACAATAATAGTGCAACACTGATTAGTAATACTAATCATAGACAATACAACAAGAAGAAGTAATTTTTTTTTATATTTACAGACAGTGAAAGAAGGTTTATTGTTGCTTGGCAGAGTGAAAAATATTTTAGAAACTAAAGTTGTAGTCAGTTTACCATGCAGGTTGATAGGTTCCATTATGGCATGCCATATCAGTGAACCATACAACAAGTTACTTGAAGCATATGTTAATGATAAGGTAAGAATTTTGTAATATATTCTAGTTAAGTATAGTAACACTAGCTACTCTCGCGCGGTTCCACCCGCTGCTCGGCTCCTACATACCGTAGCTTAATGTTTTATAGCCTAAAGCCTTCCTCAATAAATGGACTAACAAACACAAAAAGAATTTTTCATTTTGAACCAGCAGTTCCGGAGCATGTTCAAACAAACAAACAAACTCTACAGCTTTATAATATTATTAATAATTAATATTATACCTATATAATATAGAGTAGATAACAGCATATTTGAGAGACAGATATCATACGAAAGAACGATTTAGTCATATGAATTTATTAAAAAAAGCCGTAGTAATGCCAGCTGCTCATGAAATAGTTTCCTGCATGGAAAAACTATTTCCCATCTCATAAAAAAAATTACAATCTAGGAACTAAATTGGTTCAGCTGTTCTTGTGATTTGGGATTTACAAATACTTTTTATAGATGTAAAATTATATTGTCATAAGTCATAAGTCTTTGACTGCCAACAAAGAATGTTTAATGTTAATCCTCTGACAGCGACAGACAATTGTCCGACATGGCATTCAATGTTCATCGTTAAATATTTCAGACAGACAAGGTCCTAGAGCTAGGGCAGTTGTTCCGGCCGGGCCAGTACATCGCTGTGAAAGTGTTGGAGGTCAAGGATGTCAGCCTCATGCTGTCCACCATGCCACAGCATGTTAATGGGCAGACCACACTAAAAGACCTGCAAAAAGGTTTGTTTGCCATAACTTTATTTTTTAATACAACAAAAGCCTACATCATATCTTTATCAGATGTACTAGATTCATTTTTATTTATAATGTAACATTTACGTGACATATAAGCCCTCCCGCATTAAGTGTGGTAGAGCCAAGCCATAGTATAAAGAGAAGAGCAGTAGGCTATCTCCGGCCCAATCCGCGATATAATTGCCTACTGTCTTAGGGTTGTCACTTTTAGCAAAATTTTAATGCAGTGCCTATAAATTGGCAAGGGTCGGGAAGTTGTATTTTTTACTTGTATTGTCTGGGTACAGGGTTTGTGAGGTGTGACTCTGTGACATTTTGTTTTGATTTAGCGGTGCCGAAAAACAGTGACGCGCGAACCTCGTGCAGTGTTAGCCCCGACTGGCGCACTGAGAAACGGGTCGAGATTTTGTTACAGTGTGCGTGCGCTGACGCGGCGATACTATGGCACACATACAAGCTGCGCGCGGTGCGTTTGTATGAAGATAATCTACTTCCCTTCTCTTTATACTATGGCCAAGCTTCGACACAAATGAGCTGGACCAGAGTGATACAGCGGACAGCCTCACAGAAAACCAGCGTGAAATAACCACAGCGTTGTGTTTCGCCATGTGAGTGAGGTTACCGGAGGCACAATCCGAGGAACACTCGCGCCCTGGCTAAGTTGAGGCCATGGTGCGGAGCTAGAGGTACTCGGAAGCCATTTCCTCTTTCTGTGATGTGAGTACTCATGCTCGTGCTAGCAAACAAGAAAACGGAGCGCGAGATGTTACTATTCTCTTCACGACCTAGCCGCCGCAGGATGCAATCTCTTCCTTCCCCACCCAGGGTGACTTTTCATTTGATGATTTTACCAACTAAAAGGCAGATTACTACAATTGAAATTTATCATATGAAAAAAATTGTTTTTATAGGGAACTTGATACAAGCGGCCGTGTCGTCAGTGGAGGATCACGGCTATGTGATGGACATTGGAGTACCCAACACTACAGCTTTCCTACCTAAGGCAAATACCAACCCAGAGATTGAGCTGGGTAAGTCTCACATTTTTCTGATTTTACTAATATATAGTTTTTTAAGCAAACATATTAAGTAGGTAGGTACTAGCGGTCGCCCGCGGCTCCGCTGGCGGGGATGTCGATTTTACACATTTTAACTTTTTCTTTCTCTGGACATCCACGAATAATTCAAGACCAAAATTATCCAAATCCGTAAAGGCAAAGAAAAGTGGTATTGTTTTTTTTAAAGGTTTTATGGTATCAATTTATTTTTGCTTAAAAAATAAATAATCTTATCGTTTTGTTTTTTATTTCATTTCGAATAAATAGATCCATAAGTAGCATTATTATTCGTTTCTTGACCAGATGAAGGTATGATATGCTGGTGCAGCATCAAGTCAGCTCCTGGCCCTGGAGGTGGCGTGGTGACGCTGACCAACGAGCTGGTGGCGCTACAGAACTCCTGGCTGCGGAACAAGACCACCGGACCAATGTTACCGGGGTCCAACTTGGATTTCCTTGTTGATACGGTAAAATCATTTAATATGGTCTCGGTTTGTGAAAATTGAAGGTATTTGTAAGAACATTTCTTCCTGTTGGTAACGTAATAAAAAAACTACGTTTAAAGAAACTAACTTCAAAAACAAAAAAAAAGTTAAATAACTAAAATAGCAATTTTAATACCACTCTTACGTACGCGACGGTAATACTTTTAATATTTATGCGAAGCGGGGGCGGGCCACTAGTTAATAATAAAACACTATCAATTCTATGTGTTACCTATTCATAAGTTTGAAGTCGGTGCCAAGTCTAATACATAATATAATAAGCATGATACATGAGTACCTCCTCCTTTTTTGGAGTCGGTTAAAAACGGACTAAGGTGGCGTACTATATTTTGATATGCCATGGTTTCGCTACCTAGTCATCAGACTTCATACTACCACAGATTGTGGGTCCCACTAGGGATGATGCCCTGCCTGTGGGCAAAGCAGTGATGTACCAGAGCCAGGCTCGCAGTAAGCGTAAGAATGAAGTGATGGTTAGTCAGTAAAAGCCAGATTGCTGCATAGCTCATAGATGGGGGCTAGAGGGGGAATGGTGCGTCCAATATATATATTTATTTATTTAAACTTCATGCACAATGGGTACATAGGCGAACTTAATGCCTAAGGCATTTTCTACCAGTCAAACCTTGGATGATGCAGAGATGAGCCAATGGTCGGTGCAAAAAGCAAGCAAAACGGCTTAATTTTAAGTCTGTTATGACATACGAGATAGATAAGTATATATGTGCGTATTATTAACGTACAAGTTACTATATCCCTAATATAAACCTACATCCATACTCAAATTATTTATTTATTTTATTTATTTTATTTAATAATTTTTGTACACACAGTAAGTTGGACAAGAAAAATTATATTATATAATAATAAATAACATCTACAAATATATACTATATACATACATATACTAATACTTATTAATAATAATGTATGGTGGTCACGATTTAGCCAAACCTTTCAATAAAAGCTCACGAACCTTTTGTTTATAACTAGCTGCCCGCCCCTGCCCTCTCGGTCTCGAACAACTTCGCTAAGGACGAAATGCTCTTTCCTCTACTTTTCTAATATTTTCTTTCATATGAACCTTCTCCTGAAAATAACAACCACACCAAAAAAGAAAAAAGTAAAATTGGTCCAGGGGTTCTCCGCATAACTTATTTCTTATATTTACCATGTCACTGCAAATAATTTTTTTCATTTTTAATTTGTTGTTCCAGCCCCTAGAGAATGGTATTGAGGGTCACGTCTTCAAGGACCTCACGGCGTACGTGCAGCGGCAACACGCTGACACCGTCAAGGGAAAGAAACCTGCGCTTGGTCAGAAGGTAAGCTGTACTGCTACTGCACGGTTGGTGCGGTGGCTGGGCAACTGGCTGCCGTGCAACGTGTCGCGGGTTCAATTCCCGCACGGAACAACACTTTGCGTGATCCACAAATTGTTGTTTCGGGACTGGGTGTCATGAGTGTGTGTGTTTTTTGCGCTCGTACCACATTTTATTGTTATGTTAGTAAGGAGGAAATTATCAAATTATATTAATATATGTTTCTTGTTGTTTGTGAGATTGTTACAAACAAATGCTACTTTCTTGTCCTTGTGGTCCACAGATTATAAAAAATACACGCGACATCACGCATAATGTTATACTCTGTGGACCATAGATAAAAGGTTTTGCTTTTTTTTTTGTTATTTTGTTATTAATTTTTTAAGTCATTTAATTTTGATTTGTATCATTTAGTTTAGATTTTTAGTAATATTTTATTTTCTTCTTTTTTTTTGTATTTTTGTTTTGTTTTGTGTGTGTGCGCTTGCGCGAAAATAAATGTTTTTCTTTCTTTCTTTCTATGTGTATGTGACATTGTATGTTTGTAAACGCACCCACAACACAGGAGAAAATCGTGAAGAGGGGCAACGTTTTTTTTTAAAAAAAAGCTGTTCTCTTTGTCATTACGACCTAAAAAACGTCTTCGATATACTACTTTTCCACTAAATGTATTGCAAACTAGCTTTTGCCCGCGACTCCGTTCGCGTGGAATCGTGACTTCCTGCAGATATTTTTGGTATAAAAATTATCCTATGCCCTTTCTCGAGTTCGAAACTATGTCTGTACTAAATTTCAGAGAAATCGGTTTAGTAGTTTAGGCGTGAAGAAAAGACAGTCAGACAGACACAGTTACTATCGCATTTATAATATTAGTTTGGACTAGCCGCTCGCCTCAGCGGTAAAAAATAGTCAAACTTTTATTAATTGATTCCACACTGTACTTAATTTTTTTATAATCTGTTTAATACTTAAAAAATAACAAAAGAATATATACTAATAAGAATATATTTAATTTTTATATGCCAATCACGAATCATTATGTAATTTTTTTGTGATATGACGGTAAACGAGCATTCGGATTACCTGATGGTAATCAATCTGCGCCGTCTATGGAAACCGGCAACAACGGAAGAGTTGCGATTGCGTTGCCGACCGTTTTTTTCTGTAAGGCCGTGGTATCACTCCGGTCGAGCCGGCCCAATCGTGCCGAAGCATGGCTCTCCCACACTTAAAATGATGAGATGAGATCTCGTCTTTATTCCGTACTGCTGACGCGTTCAGGCATATTCCTATAAAGTATAATTATAAACCATCCTCTTGAATCACTCTATCTATTAGAAAAAACTCCATCAAAATCCGTTGCATAGTTTTAAAGATTTAAGCATACATATAGTTATATAGGGACAGAGAAAGCAACTTTGTTTTATACTATGATGTAGTGTACAACGGCCAGAGCAGGAAAAGGAACAAAGTAAATTTTTAGTCGGTTAGAAATTTAGAATCGGACTAATTTTTCAATAGTCAGATAAAATGTTATCAGTGGAATAAAATTGTTGCTGTCACTGTCTTATACAAACATTCTGACGCGACAGCATCACAATTATTCGTCAGGTAACTTTTATCTAACAATTGAGCAATAAGCTCTAAATAATGTTTATTTTATATATTTGTTAGATCCGTGCTCGTCTGCTGTATGTGATGCCGACCAGGAACACTCCGTTCCTGACGATGAAGAACATCTTCGGGAGCAGTTTCCCCGATCTAGGTGAAGAGCAACAGCTGCGGGATGGCCAGGTCGTCGAGGACGCGCAGGTACTTACCAGAAATTCTAGTAAGATTATGACCGGGACAGTTTGTAAGCATAGATCGATGCATGGATGTTTGTTACTTGTGATGTTCCGAATATCCGTATCCCTATCCGCGGATATCCGAAGGAGAAGAAAAATCCGTATCCGTATCCGCGGATATCCGAAGGAAAAGAAAAATCCGTACCCGTATCCGCGGATATCCGAAGGAGAACAAAAATCCGTATCCGTGTCTGTGGATATCCGAAGGAAAAGAAAAATTCGTATCTGTATCCGCGGATTTCCGAAGGAAAAGAAAAATCCGTATCCGCGGATATCCGAAGGAAAAGAAAAATCCGTATCCGTGTCCGCTGATATCGAAGGAAAAGAAAAATCTGTATCCGTATACGTATTACTTTTCACGAGGATATTTTACAGATCTTTTTCGGGTATTTACATAGAATTATTTAGACATAATTTACCTTCAAACAATATGTATTTCCAAATTACACTGAAAAACTACTTAGTAGACATTATTTTAAAATTGTATCAAAACAAACAAAGTAATGTATGCGGTACAGTGTCACACTAAACCAATAGTATATATATACCACTCGCGCAATTCAAGTCAAAACATGTCCTGCCTGATGTTGCGGCGAGCGTGACAACTATCGTTTTAAGATCGCGGGCGTAGCACCAATCGAATAAGAAAATAAAGATCCGTATCTTTATCCGTATCTGCGGATCTTGATACCAAATATCCGAATTCAGATCCGATTCCGCGGATGTAAATTTGACCGATCCGACACATTACTTTGTTACTATTTCGAGAAAGAACTATTTAACGGAGTGTTTATTTCGAATTTGCTTTAGGTTAAGGCGATCGGTACATTTGAATGTATGGTGTGGTTTTAGTCAGTTGACACTCCCTCTCGCTTTGCCCAAGGCGAAGGAACACAACAAAGTCGAAGTCAAAATAATTTATTACAACTAATCCATAAGTAGGTACTTTTGAAGTCAAAATAGAATGATACTTGTAGTTGGAACAAAACATAATTTTGAGAATTTTTGTAACTACTGACTATATTTGAGTATTGTCCAGTGGAGCCGAATCAACATGCTGCCAGGTATTCTTATCCTCAATATAATCTGAAAGTTTGTTGTAGTGTGGTATGCCTATCTACACAATTTGCGTTTAATATAAGTTGCGCATAAATAGTGTCGTGGATCACTCAAAGCGTGGTTCTGTGCGGGAATCGAACCCATGATACGTTTCACAACAGCCAGTTGCTCAGCTATTGCGCCAACCATGCAGTCAAGTGTCAAACTGAAATATCTAAAAAGTTTACAACTACAGTAATTCAATTTATCAACTACAAGAGTTCAAAGAAGCAAGGGAAAAATCTGGAAATCAAATTTGTTTATGGATTCAGGACTCTTAATAAAACTCAATTTAAGTAAAAACATTTATTTATTACGAAAATACAATTAATAAGAAAAAGGTCAAATGCCTTTATAAAAAAAAGTTTTAAAATATAAATGCACTTGAAGTCAATACAACGTATTGTGTACAAGTCTATGACATGTAAACAATTCTGCGTAATCTGTACCAGGAAATCTCTTAGACCATATCAGTAGTAATTTTTTTAAATTATTTATTTTATTCATTAACAATTATTACATTGTGTTTGAATTTATACAACGAAGAATTTTATATGCAATAATTAGATATAACAATTATTACTCAAGTTAAATGTCATTATACTATCCAAATTTTACAAATAAAATTTATTATAATCGTTAATCAATACATAATAAAAGAAAACATAAAATATTGTCATCAAAAACATTAACATTATAATTCGTCAACATGATACAGACACTTTTCAACAAGAACTGTTTAAGCTTATTGTGAAACTCGCTTATATAAACAAGACCTTTATATCTGTCGGCAGTCTATTAAACAGTTTGAACGACTTGTGGTAGGAACTATGCCTTGCAACATTCAGATGAGTCACTTGCTGTAACTGGAGATCCTTCCTTCTTGTACTCTCCCTTCGGAGCCTTCTTCAGTCTCATATTCAAAAATGTACTTTGACAAATGAGTAAGCAAAACCGAAACGTACAAACTTGGGACTGTCAATATATTTAAGTCAGTGAAATGAGGCTTAAATGATTCTTGCTGTTGTATTCTTACCATAGTCCTGACTGCTATTTTTATATTACAAAATGCTTTTTGTATATTGTAGTCATAACTTCCAACCCAGAAAAGTATGCTGCACCTTAGCCTTGACTCCACCAATGCTTTAAACACCATTTTCAAGTGTTTTATGGTTACGTCGTTTCTGAGACTTCTAAGCACATAACAGGCAGGGCTAATCGCTTTCTCAATGTAATTTAGCTCTTCCTTCCACTTCAACTGGTTATCAGTATAAACTCCCTTAGAACTTAGAATGATAATAAATTGATATAAACTAAACTAAAATTAATGACTTTAACTTTTATAAAAAATATTAGCGCAGAGTTAAAGCTTAAGGAACGGACATTCACATTTGGGATCAGAAGCTATGAGATATCGTAGCCTGGATCAGTACAGGTCTTGGTTTTTATGAGTGAGTCTGACTCTCTCTTGCGACACCTACAGCGGGAGAAGTAATATGATGCTATCCCCGCTTAAAAAAAAAATCGGCTCCTTAAATATTTAATGTTAAAACTACTTATAAAATAACTTTCAACATCTTATAAGAACCTTAGAACGATTAAATCGAAAAATTTATTATGTCTCTTTATCAAGAGTTAATATTAGAAGTTTATTTTTAAAGTATATTCTTTTTTAATGTGGTTTAAAGGTTGTCTGGCAGATATCGCTCTAAAGTATGTTTATATAAAAATTAATTAAAACATGAAGATATTGGTATTCTTCAAATGATTTTGTTTAAGTAGGTTCTTATAAAATTTAAAAGTGTGCACGGTTCCGCATAACACATCCATCATGGAGAAGAACCGGCAAGAAACTCCATGGAAATTACTAACAGTTATACAATAAAACTAATATTATTGATAAAAATATAAAATCTTAATATCTACTACAACGCCTTGATGAAAACTTAGCGGGTGTAAGTCGGAGGTAGATTGTACTAAGTGATAGCAAAGTTTTGTTTCCACATGAAATTATTGTGGTACCTATTCAGTCACCGCGGTGGTAAAAGTGAAGTAAATATGTTTTAATTAGTGCAAAGTTTTTAATTGTAATTATATGATTTTATTCATGTAATTATTTAAAAAATTCTTTTTGAAAATGGTAGGAACAATGTCTGGTTTTATAAATGCTGTAATTTCCTTCTGATTGGCGTAAAAGTGTAGCTGTAGAGTCGTTGTTGCACTGATTGTTGACACGTTTACGTGACAAGCCGACACTTACCAAAAGCGAAGCCACGCTGTCTTCTTATTGTTGGCTGGGTCCTTAGCCAGGCTAGCTTCATCAACGGCTGGTGATAGAGGAGGCGATGCTTGCTCTCTGGACACATTGTCACGGTTGATTCCGCTGGTCCCTGGCGTGGGATTCAGCTGCTGTGCTATAATTGCAGTCGTCAAAGACCTAAGAGTTGGTATCTGCCTATAAATCAATGTACTTTCGGTGACAAATCCACGTTCTTCGTGTAAACTTTTTTCCAATTCATCCTTGGCCTGCTTCAGGCCATCAATTATTTTATTGTGTTGCTCTCTCCTTTTGGTCTCAGCGGCGTCGATATTATAAATGTCATCTTCAACTTTTTTGCGTATCTTGTCCTCCTTTTCTTGCAGTGAGTGCATGACCTTTTCAAATTCTTCGTTTCTCAAAGCGCAGTCGTTTAGTAACGCCTTAATATTCTCTTCAACGATTTCTCTTCTTTCTTTTTCCTGTCTATTAATGTCATCAATATCTGCATCGTAGGCTAGTTTTAATTCAGCATATTCCTGATCTAGTGCTGCAATACGAACATTGCTCTCAGACTCAGCCTGTTCTATAACTGCCTTCAATGACTGGATCTCGTCATTAATTTCCTTAATCTTGTCAAACTCAATCTTTTGCATACTTTCAAATTTCATTTGATTATTTTCCAATTCTTGATCCAATGAATTTTGAAGTGTCTGTAGATTATCTCTGTGCTTGTTTTCCATCTGAGCTTGGTTTTCTATGATACTTTTTATTTGTGTTTGTATTTCTATGCTTTTTTCGTTTTCTTCGATTTGCATCATCTTAATGCGTTCATTATATTGATCGGTATATGAAGTCAGCTCGTCATGTAATCGTTTGATGGTATTTTCCAATTCTTGTCTTTTTTGTATTTCATACTGTTTCAATTCTGCTTCAATTTGAATTTTACGCTCAGACTCGCTTTGTTCCATAATTCTACAGTTTTCGTCCACATCAAATTTGAGCTTGATCAGTTTTATTTCTAACTTATTAATGTTTTCCTCCATAAGTTGTTTCTTCTTTTTTTGGGCTTCATTTGCAGCGTCAATTGTTCTTTTTATGGTTTTCTCCCTTTCAGCAAAAAGATTAGCACTCCTTAGCTCTTCTTTCTTAATTTTATCGGAATATTCTGCTAGTTCATCTTTTAAGGCTTTAATATTTGCATCAATGTTGGCCTTGATTTGTTGTTCTATAACTTTCAATTTTTCAATTTCAGCCTTAATTTGCTGCTCCTTCTCAATTTCATCTTGTTTCATTATTTCAATTTTTTGACGATGTTTGTTTCGAGCTATATCCAATTTTATTTTATTTTCTTTCGCGTTCAAGTTCAGTGCTTTTGTAATAAATTCCTTCTCCTGCTTCTTTGTCTCTTGTTGCATTCTCTCAATACTTTGGTGACTTTGTTTTTCAGCTTCAGCTAATTGGTTTTCAAATTCTTTGATCCTTCTTTTCATATCACGCTTAGCAGCTTCTTGGCGTTCTTTATTGGCTTCTATTGCTTTTCTAGTTTTAATTTCTTTTTCTTTTGTAACCTCGTCAAAATACTGTATGCTTTTTTTCAATTCTTGTGTAGATTGAACTAATTCAATTTCCATGTTTTTTATTTTTTCTTCCATTTCTATTTCTTTGTTATTTTTGATTTCATTTAACTTTGTTATTTCGTTTTGAATTTCTGTTACTTTCTCACGCTCTTGTGACGCTAAAATTTGCAATCTGGTTTCCAATTCTTTCCTTTTATCGTTTAATTCATTTTGCAATTTATCAATGTTGTTGTCTACGTTCTGCCTCGCTTTCGCTTCTGCTTCGTCAATTTTCTGTATTTGCGCAATCAAATCCGTTTCCCTTTCATTTTCAGTTTTTTTAATTTCCTCAACCTTTTTTCTTAGTTTAGCTAATTTTTGTTTCAAATGCATATTGTCTCTCTTTTTGGTTGATTCGATCATTTTCATGTTTTTCCTTACTTTTTCAATTTCTTTTTTCATTTTTTCTTCTTCGACGCGCAAGAGTTCCATGCTGGTCTCAAAGTTTATTTTCTCCAATTTTAAATTTGTATACATTTCCATTATTTTACTGTGTTCTGTCTCTTTCTCCACACTTTTCTGTGTATTCATTTTTGCCGGATTTTGTTTATTTTCTTTGCCTTGTAGCTTTGTACCAGCTATCTGTTTGTCTAGATATAAAATATTCTTTTCTATATCGATGTTGTTTCTTTCTGCGCAGTTTTTGTATGTCTGCAGCTTCTTTTGTAGTTCCTCGTGAGCCTTTTTTATTTGCTTTTCTTTACTTTCAAGTTGTTTACACACCTTGTAGTTATGGAAATCTTTTCGACTTTTGTCATACTCAGTTTTAGTTTGGCTAAGTTTATTCTTCTTTTCTAAGAATTCTTCATCTTGAATCTTGCTTGAAGATGTTCTTTTCTTTGGTGTTTTTGACTCCTGAGAATAAATAGAAAAATTTTATGGTTATTGGTGGTGGTCGAGCTAGGGGTGTGTGATTACATTTAAGATTCGAATATTTTTTTTTTCAATTATATTAACTTCTAGCTAACTGTACCGTGACATTGTGTTAGTTATTTAAAACGGTAATCAGTATTTAAGCTGACCTATTTTTTGTTTAGGTGCTGAAGATAACTGGAAGGTCGATACATTTCCGGCTGGGCGGTGGGTGCTTCGGAACTATGAGTTTGAAGCGCATCCAAGTGGACGAAGACTTAGCTGATGAGGAAGTGGTCGCAAAGTCCTACCCTATAGGTAAGTCTCGTCATAACTAACATAATTTTCTAAGTCTTACACCCGGTTTCTGAAAGGCTTGTCAACGCTAAAATTAACTAATCTCCTGTTAAATCTCTTGTCAACTCATCTGATTGGTTGATGATAATTCAGTCAACCAATCAGATGACTTGACAAGAGATTAAATTGATTTTAACATTGACCGGCCTTTCGGAAACCGGGGGTTAGTGTGTGAATATTTTTATCCGAATGTCTTGTTTATTTGTTTTGCCCGCGACTTTGTTCGCGTGGATTAGTGACTTCCTGTAGATTTTTGGTTTAAAAACTATCCTATATCATTTCTCGAAATCTAAACTATGTCCGTACCAAATTTCACACAAATAATTTCACAAGTTTTAGCGTGAAGAAAAGACTGACATACAGACAGAGTTTCTTTTATAATATTAGTTTGCATATTTTATGTACATAGTAAGTTGGACAAAAAAAAAGAGTATTAAACATAAAAACTATATCTACAGCAGGTTATTACCCTGGCCACAATTCGTACTACAGTATAGTTACCTTCTGCTCAGGCGCAGGCTTCTTCTCCTTAGCGGCGCCAGCTTGTTGGCCTTGCGCGTTGGCCTTGACGCCGCTTCCCGAAGCTTGTGAGGGCAATGCACCACCACTTTGAGCCGCCTAAAGTGTAAACAGAATAGAAATTGAGTTAATAGATGGAAAAATATTAGAAAAGTACCTATTTTCCGACTGGTCAAGTAAGAATAGCTAAGATGGTCATCACCGTCATTATTCAATCAAGCTGTACTGCTAAGCAGAGGCGCCTTCTCACACAGAGAAGGTTTGAGCATTAACCCCCAGGCTAAGGTGAATGGGCGATTTAAAACTTATAATTAGAAATTATAAATCCAGGTTTCCTCACGATGTTTTCCTTCACTGCGTCTTAGTAATCACAAGTTTATATATTTTGGAAAAAGTCACATTGGTACCTACATGGCAGGTTTTGGACCCGCACTCTGTATGAGATGAGAGTGCGGGTATACCACGGCTTCGCAGAATACCAGAATGATACATGGCTGTTGTGTTTCTCCGTGTGAGTGAGGTTACCGGAGGCCCATTCCGCTCCTTCTAATTCCTAATCCCCAAATCCCCTATCCTTAAATCCCTAATAAATCCCACAAAAGGCATCGCACTAGTAGTAATTTCTCTGGTATTACGAGTATCCAATGGCGTTGATTGCTTAACATCATAGGAATACGAAAGTAAAAGTAATATTTTGTCTCAGGCAGCACACACAAGGTCCGAGTGTTGTGTTACAACTTGTCTGACTACGTCTACTCGGTGACTGACCAGCCTGACGTCATCGCTGAGAAGTACTTCAACCTGGAACAGCTCCGCGCCGGAGACCTGGTTGACGCCACTGTCAAGAGTGTCGCCGACAACCATGTCCTACTCAACGTTGGCAGGGTTACAGGTACGCTTTATATAGCAATATTATTTATTTACTACAGATCTCGCTGCTACAGATCCTAGCGTAATGTTTTATAGCCTAGCCTTCCTCGATAAATGGAATACACAAAAAGGTTTGTTCAATTCGAACCAGTCGTTCCGGAGGTCAGCGCGTTCAAACAAACAAACTTTATACTAGGATCTTCTCCTGTGTCGTGGGTGCGTTTACAAACATTCAATTTCACATACAACTTACACCCAGACCCGGAACAACAATTTGTGGATTTTTAAACAAAGAGTTCTCCCTGCGGGAATCGACCCGCGACACGTGCAGTCAAATTAATCATTATAAAAAAAAAACTATTTGTAAGTTTATATGTAGGGGGTAATCTTTGCAACTGCCGAGCCGACCCATTCGTGCCGAAGCTTGGCTCTCCTACACTTACACCCGGTTTCTGAAAGGCTTGTCAACGCTAAAATTAACTTGGCAAGATGATGACTTGACAAGAGATTTAACAGATTTCCTGTTAAATCTGATTGGTTGTTGATAATTCAGTCAACCAATCAGATGACTTGGCAAGAGATTGAATTGATTTTAACATTGATCGGCCTTTCGGAAACCGGGTGTTAATCACCTATCGTTTTAATTAACTTTTGAACTATTTCTTTCAGGCTACGTATCACAATCGCATCTATCTGACTCAGGGATTTTCACAGACCCAAAGAAGCCTTCAGTTTCAAAATTACCGAAGAAAAAGTACAAGGTAAGGCTTCTCATTAATATTACTAGTATTTACTTTACTTTAAGAAAAGCAGCTATTTTTCTTTCATATATATTTTTTTATGTGATAGGTCGCAAACGAGCAAACGGATTACCTGATGGTAAGCAAACAGCGTCGCCCATGGACACCCGCAACGACGGAGGAGTTACGAGTGCATTGCCGACCTTTTGGGGATTAGGGATTTGGAGATTTTGAGAAAGGGAACGGATTGGGTCACCGGCAACCTCACTCACACGGCGAAACACAACTCTTTGGTTATTTCACGCCGGTTTTCTGTGAGGCCGTGGTATCACTCCGGTCGAGCCGACTCATTCGTGTCGAAGCATGGCTCTGCCACACTTGAATTAATTTTTATTTGCTAAATATTTACAAGGCATTCCCGCTAGCCAATCTTTAAGTGATGCAACGATTCGTTACTATCTCCAATCTCCAATACTCAAATCCATAACGACTAAATCCCAATGCACTTGTACTTAACTCTTCGTATTGCAGTTCCACGGGCGGCGCCAAACGCTTAACACCAGGTGACGCCCTATCTATATACATACACATCTATAACACATCTATATAGGTATAAATGAATCGCAAAATATCGGCAAGCGCATAGCTCAATAACGCCTGGACCAATTCTACTGATTATTTTTTTGTTATGTGTGTTATAGTCAGGAGAAGGTCCTTATGAAAAAAAATTTAGAAAAGTAGAGCGGTGAGTTGGATAATAGGGATCCTTTCATCGTAAGCGAGATGATGAGACCCTCGCGGAGCAGGGGCGAGCTGCTAGTCTCATAATAAAACGCATTCTTAATACTGCATTCTGGTATAAAATCACAGACGACGCTTTGCCAGGCATATGCATTCGCTAAGGTTAGGCAGTGACACTGCATATGAGCCGGCCTCGCCCCTATCAGAATCTCTTTCCGCCGCCGAGAATCAAAGCGAAACAACAACATTGTCAATTTTGACGTGTCCTTAAACGAGCCAATGAAAACTAGACTACCTCTCCCCGCAACCCGCAACCTTATAGCAATTTTGTTTTCCTACTGAAGTCTTTAGGTTGAGTCGTCTATCAAATAACTACTAGCTACTCTCGCTCGGTTCCACCCGCTGCTCAGCTCCATTTGATCGTAGCGTGATGTTTTATAGCCTATAGCACTCAGGAACATTGTAGCTATCTATCAATAAAAGGAATTTGGCAAGGAATCCGACCAGCGGTTCCAAAGATTACCCGCTACATACAAACTTACAAATTTCACCTCTTTATAATATTAGTATAGAAATGTTTAATTTTCTTTCGTAGGTTGGTCAAGCAGTGAAAGCTCGCGTGCTGGTGGTGGACCCCACAAAGCAGACTCTATTCCTAACCTTAAAGCCGTCACTCCTCTCGCCAGACCTTGAAATATTGGACAGTTACAACACCACCGCCATCGGGAAAGTTTACACCGGAGTCATTAAGGTATAATATTTGACGTCGTACTCAAAATCACTTAATAATTAGTTAAGCTACTTATTTAAAATAATTTTGGTCCTATAAAAGTCGCTAAGTTTGCAGCAGTACACTTATAGGCTGATGATGATGATGATGATGATGATATCTCTGAATAAGGTAGTTAGGAAAGTAAGACAGAAATAAAAATAAGTCAGTAGGTTGTAATTTGTCGTCAAAGGAAAATAAGCCCAAATGAGCTGTACAAGGGGGGTAGTTTAACACGGTAATGTCATTGGGGGCAATAAAGGAGGATTTCCCTTAACAATTTCCTGTCAGCTGTAAAAATATTGTTTATTTTTCAGACTATACGAGATTATGTGTTGGTTCAATTCTTCAACAACGTGATCGCGTATGTACCGTCTCAATTCGTGTCCAAGGAGCCACTTGAGAACGTTTCAGAAGCATTCCACATTGGTCAAATTGTGAGTATACTACAAAAATGTGGATAAATATACATGTAATAATAACTATAAACGGTAGGTATGCTTCGAATTCAAATATTTTAAACGCAAAAGTTTGTGAGCAAAGATGTATGTTCGTTACTCAAAAAATACTGAACAGATTTGTTTGAATTTTGGACACACATTATTTTTGCTCTGCAACTTCAGGCGAAGCCGCTTGCAAGCTAGTGTTCAATATATAAATTTATTAAAAATAATATAGTGCTTGCTTTTACTAGCAATACGATTTAAATAAAATAACATCCACAGATAGTGATATTTTTTATATAAACTTTACCTGACTAAGTGGGGCTTTTAAAACTATAGTTATAAGCCAAATTGTAAAATACAATGTGTTTTTGTAGGTAAAATGTACGATACTACGAGTGAATCCTGAAGAAAACAAGATGTCTGCCAGTTTCATAACGCCACCGTTCAAGGAAGTGAGTTTAATTTACCTTTTTTAAAAATATTCATGTAAATGTGTCAGTATCCACATCTATTAAATGTTAAACTTTGTCCTCATTGTCACAGATCAAAGACGGAAGAGCTAACAAGCGCAAACAACAACAGAGCGATAATGTTCCAAATAAAAAAAATAAAAACAATGACGACCTAGTAAAAGATAAAAAGAAAACACCAAAAGAAGAAAATATAGAAGAATCAGAAACCGAACACAAACCTGAAGTTGACAAGAAGAAAAAGAAGAAAGTTGTCCTAGAACAAAAGGATGAGTCAGACCCAGGTGTAGAAGAAGAAGTCAGTAAGAAAGATAAAAAGAAAAAATCAAAAGAAAAAACAGCAGAAGAATCGGACACTGAAGACAAAAAAGAATTGGACAAGAAGAAAAAGAAAAAACCTAAAGTGGAACAGAATGACGAGTCAGAACCAGACGCAGAAGAAGTTAGTCAGAAAGGAAAAAAGAAAAAAACAAAGAAACAGAAAGCAGACGAATCAAACGATGAAACAGAACGTGAAGAAAAAGACAAGAATAAGAAGAAAATAGAAGTTTCAGAAGAAAGTGACGCTATAGAAACAGATTTAAACGAAGAAGTTGAGATACTAACACCGCAAGACCAGGCTCTGGTAGACATGAGCACCTGCACCACAGGAAAGCAATGCAAACGTCGCGTCGTATCCCTGTTAAAGGCAGTGAACAACAGGCAGAAACGCCTCGAAAAGATAGAGAGGAAGATTATGAGGATAGAGGAGAAGGGCCTCACTCCGGACACAAAGCTGTTCCACACTGCGATGCAAAACGACAGGATCATCGTGAAGGAGAGGCTAGCTCTGCTGATGGAGGCTTTGACCAAAGCGCAAGCCAAGCTCAAAGAGTTTGGAGTAGAGTTCAATAAAGATTATAAAAAAGAGAAACGGCAGGTAAAAGAAGATACCGAACAGAAGAACGTTCTAGAAGTTAAAGTGTTGGAGAGCTTAGAGCCAGCGCTGGAAGCACCCAGCGCTCAGGACTTCTGGACTGCTTCAGTCGAGGACCCAAAGCCAGTAGAAGACGACGAGGACAGCAGCAGTGAAGACGAGGTCAGTCAATTTAACAATTTATTACTATTATTAAACATTAAACTATGCAGTTATGAACAGGTTACTTTCACCAACTCCTTCAAATATTACTTCCCTAAATAGTATAAAACAAAGTCGCTTTCTTTGTCCCTTTATCTTGCAAAATACGCAACGGATTTTGATGCAGTTTTTTCTTAAACATAGAGTGATTTAAGTGGAAGGTTTTAACATTGCACCCGTGCGAAGTACGGGCGGACCGGTATTGTAAAAGAGAGAGAAGACTTACTTTCGCAAATATTTATTGCAGCCGCTTGGCAGATACTGAGAACATTTTATCTATACTAATATTATAAAGAGGTAAAATTTGTAAGTTTGTATGTAGGGGGTAATCTTTGGAACCATCGGTCGGATTGCCAAAATTATTTCACAGATAGATAGCTACATTGTCCCTGAGTGCTATAGGCTATAAAACATCACGCGACGATTAATTGGAGCCGAGCAGCGGGTAAAACCGCATGGGAGTAGCTAGTAATAAATAATTTGGGTAAGTTCTTAACATTCAAGTATTAAAACCACAATGTTTTACCGTACAGGATAAAGAGCAGCCTAAGAAGAAACGCAAGAAGTTGTCGGTAGCTGAGAAGTTGGCCAAGTTGCGGGAGGAGGAAGAAAGAGTGAGGGAGATGGAGAGGAAAGCTACGGAGAGTGAGAGTCAGCCGCGTTCCAGCGAGCAGTTCGAGCGCGCCCTCCTCGCGCATCCCAACTCCAGCCAGCTCTGGATCGCGTATATGGCTTTCCATCTTCAGGTGTGTTTTACAAACAAGGTTTTTTCTATTTATGATAAAGGCATACGAGCAGACGGATTACCTGATGGTAAGCAATCGGCCCCGCCAATGGACGACAACACCAGAGAAGCTACGAGTGCTTTTTGGTAGTTAAGGTTACAGATTGGACCTTCGATAACCAGAATCCTACGACGAAACACAGCGATGTTATGGTTTCACGCCGGTTGTTTCTTTGGCCGTGGTATCAGTCCGGCCGAGCCGACCCATTCGTCGTGTGTGTAGGCCCAATCCTGCCTTCCCCCCATCGCTTTCCAAATGGCCGGTAACGCATTCGTAACTCCTTTATTTTTGCTTACCATCGGGTAATACGTCTGATGGTTTGCCGACCTAACTCATAAAAAAAACATGCTACCTGTAGTTGTTGAGTGTAGAAATGACATTAGAGTTTTGAGTATAGTAATGTTTTGTAAGTATTTTACTGACTGCACGGTTGGCGCGGTGGCTGGGCAACCGGCTGCCGCGCAACGTGTCGCGGGTTGGATTCCCGCGCGGAACAACTCTTTGTGTGATACACGAAGTGTTGTTCCGGGTCTGTGTGTGATGTGTATGTGAAATTGTGTGTTTGTTGACGCACCTACGACACAGGAGAAAATCCTAGTGTGGGGCAACGTTTTTTCTTTTATATGTTGGATTGGAACTAGTTATCTTACAAATATTATAAATGCGAAAGTTACGATGTTTGGATGTTTGTTACTCAATCACGCCAAAACGGCTGGTTGGATCTGGATGAAATTTGGCACAGGCATAGTATATACTCCGGAGTAGGACATAGGCTACTTTTTATCAACATACCACGCGGACGAAGCCGCGTGCGGAGGCTAGTAATGTATAAATATAAAGTAAGTATTTATTACCGCTTTGTTTAATTCCAGGCTGCAGATATCGAGAAAGCGCGCAACGTCGGCCGAAGAGCACTGTCCACAATGTCCTTCCGAGAGGTACTGGAGAAGTTCAACGTGTATGTCGCCATGCTCAGCGTCGAGTGCAGATTCGGTACCAAGGTTAGTCATCTGTGAACAAACATTTTTTTTTTATATGAGATATGTCGGCAAACGAGCTAAAGGATTACCTGATGGTAAGCAATCAGCGCCGCCCATGGACACCCGCAACAACAGAGGAGTTACGAGTGCGTTGCCGACCTTTTGGGGATTTGGGATTTGGAGATTTAGGGATTGGGGGAAGGGAGGCATTGGGCCTCCGGTAACCTCGCTCACACGGCGAAACACAACGCTGGTTGTTTTACGCCGGTTTTCTGTGAGGCCGCGGTGTCACTCCGGTCGAGCCGACCCGGTTGTGCGGAAGCATTTTCCTCTCACGCTTATGTATTTATTTATTTATTAAAACTTCATGCACAATGGGTACATAGGCGGACTTAATGCCTAAGGCATTTTCTACCAGTCAAACCTTGGATGATGCAGAGATGAGCCAATGGTCGGTGCAAGAAGCAAGCAAACGGCTTAACTTTAAATCTGATAAGCCATACGAGATAGATATATGTGCGTATTATTAACGTACAAGTTACTATATCCCTAATATATACCTTATATATTAGGGATATATATATATATATATATATATATATATATCTATGCTTATTATTATTAGTAGTATTTAACACTTATTTTGTTGAATAGATTCTGATATGCTGTATTAAAAAGTACCCTATTTGTTATTTTAGACTATTTATATTTATTCTAGCAGACCCAGCCACGCGTTGCTGTGGCTAACGTTTGTATTTTTAACATAGCGCCATCTATTGAATACTTACTTAATCATGTCAACAGATATCGCCATCTGTTAGAATAATTTGGAGCTAATAGATAATTGTAACTGACAACTATTTTTTTATGGACAAATAATTTGCAATAAAATAATATTGTGACTAAAAATTGAGATGTAAGCTACCCTATCTTTCAAGTTGGATCAAAATGCACACGAAATACAAATCAAATTTAAAATCGGTTTAATGTTTTAGGAGTCCATCGCGGACAGACATGTGACACGAAATCTACTATACTAATATTATAAAGAGGTAAAATTTGTAAGTTTGTATGTATTTTGTATCTTTGGAACCGCTGGTCAGATTTCCAAAATTCATTCACTGATAGATAGCTAGAATGTTCCTGAGTGCTATAGGCTATAAAACATCACGCATCATAAAAATGTAACACAAAGAGCAGGTCTGGTTTACAAGCACAGAATGCACAATAAGCGGTCTTATCACACAGGGTGATTTCCTCCAGACAACCTTTGGATGGATATTTATAATCTACTAGCAGGCCCAACCACGCGTTGTTGTAGTTAAGGTAAATAATATTGTGACTATAAATTGAGATGTAAGCTATCCTATCTTTCTAGTTGGATCAAATGCACGCGGAATGCAATCAAATTTAAAATGGGTTCAGTTTCAGTTTGAATCAGGCGTTACTTTGCGGAAATCCATGACATTAAATGTTAATTTCATTGTTTTTTCCGCGACAAAACATTAAATGTAAGGAAAAAACTAAATATTAAATATAGGTTTAGTTGTTTAGGAGTCCATCGCGGACAAACATGTGACACGAAATTTTTAAATATAAAGATATAGAAAGAAAGAAGAAAAAAAGAAAATACATTTATTCAGCACCAGGCCACGATGCAGCATATAAAAAGACAATAAGAGTGTGACAGTAGAAGTAAGACAAACATGAGTTAAAGATTAAAACAGATGAAACAGAAAATAGACGCTACAACATGCCCATGCTAAATGGGTTACCCACTCAGTGTAAGCTTGGCATACCAGTCGCCCAGCACTGATTTTCAGTGGGCACCCCTGTCAGTGATATCTATTTGTGTTAAATTTTATTCTGTGGTTTTTACTCTTAAAAATATCCATTCATATATAGTTAGCTGGGGTTGCAGAGCAAGCGCTATAAGGCACCGCGGCCTCGGCCCAGAGCAGAAGGAACGGAGGGTTTCTAGTCAGTAAGAGTCTGACACTCCCTCCCACCCCACCCTAGGCGGGAGAATTCATTTGTTATGTAGTTGTGGGATCTATATCTACCTATGTATAAAGGTATTAGATGCGCTATGCAATGTCGATTGTGAATATGAAATAAATATGTGCCAGTCGGCTTCCAACACTCGGTTCACTTGTCTCACATATTTATTTATTTACTTAAAATGTCAAAATATTTTTGGTACTGATTCAGGAAACCACTTTATAGATGTCCAACGGTGATTAGGTTGCAAATATTAAAATTTAAAATACTTATAACTATGGTTTTGATATGAAGAAGTTTTTCTTCGTTTACCATAATACTATGTATTTATTTATTTATTATTTATGCACATCACACATACATTAAATAGAGAACAGAGACGGAGGTACATAGGTACTGCATTTATTATATTAGAATTTGAAAGATACACAAAACATTTTTTGCCAGGGAGAAATTGTCTCAATATCTTATTTTAAAATATCTTTTAAGGTACGTTTTAGTGCTACTCCCACGTGGTTTGACCGGCTGCTCGGCTCCTATAGATTGTAACGTGATGTTTTGTAGCCTAAAGCCTTCCGCAATAAATGGTCTGTTAAACACAAAAAGAATTTTACAGTAATTCCTGAGCAATTCCTGATTAGCGCGTCCAAACAAACAAAATCTTTCAGCTTTATAATATTATATAGTATAGACGCGTATCATGTTTTTTAATTGAAATGTTTAAGTATATGAAAACCCATATAGAAAAAAGAAAAGAAAGAAAGATAAACATTTATTTTCGCGCAAGCGCACACACATAAAACAAAAATACAAAAAAAGAAGAAAATAAAATAATTCTAAAAATCTAAACTAAATGACACAGATAAAAATGAAATGGTTTTAAAAAAAAATAATAATAAACAACAAAAGTTTGTCTATGGTCCACAGAGTATTTTAATGCGCGAGGTCGCGTGTATTTTTATTATCTGTGGACCATAAGGACAAGATAGTAACTTTTGATATACCTAAACACCTAAACGTAGGTACCCTTAATATAGTTATACTCTAATTCAATTGTCTTTTGCGTGTTTCTATGTTTAATCAAGCTAATTGCTTTGACCTTATCTATCTAACATCGTTGCTTTCTTATTGACCACACCTCTACGAACAAAATAACGTCACAGCAATACTGTTTTTTTGTAATGTAATAGACCGGCAAACCAACAGGCGGATTACCCGATGGTAAGCAATCAGCGCCGCACATGGACACCCGTAATAGAGGAGTTAGTTAGTGCGTAGCCAACCTTTTGGGGATTAGGGAATTTGGAGATTTAGGGATTGGTTGAGGAATTGGGGGGGGGGGGGAGGATTGGGCATCCGGTGACCTCACTCACACTGCGAAACACAACGCTGTGGTTTTAATAATTTTTAATAATTGTCCCTCAATTATTATTATTTTTTTATTTGCTCTCAAGTTTTGTTTTGATCAGAGATACTCATCATATGATTTGTCCCGCTCAATGTGGGCCGAGGGGAGTGTCAGAGTTTTTAATTGTGGGAGAGCCATGCTTCGCTACGGCTGGGTCGGTTCCACCGGAGTGATACCACGACCTCACTGAAAACTCGCATCAAACAACCACAGCATTGTGTTTCGGCGTATGAGTGAGGTTACCGGAGGCCCAATCGGTCCCCTTCCCCAATCCCAAAATCTCCAAATCCCTAATCCCCAAAAAGTCGGCAAGGCACTCGTAGCTCCACCGTTGTTGCAGGTGTCAATTTTAACGAGGAGCGTAGTTTAAAAAAGAACTAATTGAACGCTAAGATTTTTTAAATACTCCTTCTCCTAAAAATCCTTTTGATTAACTAATAGTCTATATAAAACATTCCGTTCGGTATATGGCATTATATTTACGGCTATACAAATCACTACATAGTATAAAACAAAGTCGCTTTTCTATCCCTATGTCCCTATGCATGCTTAAAACTTTAAAACTGCGCAACGGATTTTGTTGCGGTTTTTTAAATGACAGATTGATAAGAGGCAAAGGCTTATATGTACTTACAATACAATTCATTTAATATTGGAGAAGTTTAGTACAACCTTTGAACCCGTGGTTAGCTGAGGCGAGTCGCTAGTAACTTATAAAATATTGTTTTAATAATTTATTATTTTCACTGCCTTTCTCATTGTGAAACAAAACGCGACACGATAAGCTCAAATGTTAAATGACACCATTCCAAGCGAATGTTACTAACGGAACTACAATACTGAATAAAACTATAGCAAGTTAAAAAGAAATATCATATGTAGCGTTCTCGCTCGCACATGACCACATCCTGTACCTATATTTACATACATACATGTATACTTGTACAATGAAATACCAATCACACATAAATATGTTCTTTCGCGACATCTAATTAGGTTTGAATTTTGTTTGACTATGGGTGCTGAAAAATGGACTTAGAGTGAGAGAGTGCATTAAAATGCGACACCATATTTGGTTCTCTCTCTCTTTCTGTCCTTCGGGTTTCATAGTAAGTGTGTGTAGAGTTCAAAATACACAATTGAACATAACCTCATTTAAACTAATCTTGTATAGATTTCTGTAAACCCCGCCTATAAGTATCTAATTTCAAACTAAATCTTACTAAGGACACTAGTCTCGGCTTTGCATTGTCTGTAAGCCAGTCATTCACTCACTCACTCACTCTCACACTCACCCACTCACTCAGTCATTCATTAATTCATTCGCTCACTGATTCAGTCTCCAGTAACTAGGTACCTAATAATATTTCATTTTTACTTTCTTAAATGGCATACGATAAAGATACTTAGTTCCTAAGAAAAACTTAACTTTAAATTCTTTTCTAGTCGGTACAAAAATAATATACTTACTATAAAATTAATGGCCTGGTATTGATGTTACAATAAATTTACAATTGAAGTAAGCGCCCTAGCCTACGCACTATATGAAAATATCGTTTATCCAAACTAATAATATAAATGCGAAAATAACTCTGTCTGTATGTCTGTCTTT